CCCCTATAACACGGTAGATAATGCCGTGTTATATGAATTCCATGTTGTACGAGTCACTTATATTTTACAAATACGTGTGCCGTGTTGGAACGGCTCACGTATTTGTAAAATTTAAGTGACTCGTACAACATGGAATTCATATAACACGGAATTATCTACCGTGTTATAGAGGGGTCTACTGGTACATTTATCCGGCATCTACTAATGGATGCGGGTTAACTGAGAGTCTACTCTATTTAGTGATAAAAAAAAGTGCAAATAATATATATTTTTAACTTCATAAATAGATCATTACGTATTAAACAGGGTTTTAATCATTGAATAAAACCTGTTATTTAATTTTTAAATGAAATTATTGAAAGTAAATGTTCACACTGCATTAAGTGTAAATTTAAAAATAAATATACGATAATAATTAATTATTAATTATATATTTCTCTAAACATATTAATATTAATTAATTTAATAAACCTACTTTCTTATTAAAATTTTATTAGATTTTAAAATTAAAATCAGGGTTAATTAATTAAGTCAATACAAAACACCTCGGAAAAACAGAAGCATAACCGTATTAAATGCCAGTTCTGTTCTTATTAAAAATTGAAGAATAAGCGGAATAATTATTAGAAGTTGGTAATAATATTTCAGAATGTGCTTTGTTAATAATATTCGAGTTCAAAGTTACATCTAAAAAAAAAAAACTACATAAAATTAACACTGAAATTTAAGTAATGATTAAAGATTATATGTCGTAGCAAATTCTCAAGAATCAGCGAACAGACAAACGAACAAACAATTATTTATCTTTCTTTAAATAACAAAAAAAAAGTGATACATAATTGTGGATTAAATTTGAATTTTGGGAACTTGAATGACTTTTTACATGCTGAATAAATTAAATAATTAATTATTATCTTACTGTTTCATTAAATTATGGGTTTAATTATTAAAATATATACAACTGACAGTAAAATGGACATTTTTTTGATTCATTTAGAGCTATGAAAGGGACTAGCAACGTGAAAAATGGGAATCGATGGCCACGCTCTACTTCTTTCGAAAAATGGAGGAAGAGAGATTTCATCTTAGACGGAGATTCTCCTAATATATTGAAATCGATCTCGGATTTTTTCAGACAGAAAGTCAAACCGATTTAGATCATTTAACATTACATAAATGATTCAATCAATCATCTTAAGTTATAGAATAATAATATTGTAGATAAATACAAACTTTCACTTATGAATAGATTTATTTATAATTGTTTAATACCAAATACGTCATGCATTATTTGATATTTAACATTTTGTTTTTTCTTTTTGGTATTCGTGATGAGTCGGAAAGTCTAAAAGATCAAAGAGGTTACGTGTTTATCCTTATATTGTCGAATGCCTTTAGATGCGTTTTCAGGAAAATAATCCGTATCTTAGCATTAATTTATAGAAATTCTGTAAAAGTCACGAAAAACCAGTTCTTATGACATAAAACTGTCTAAAAATTAAAGCGTGACATTAAAGGAAGAGCCTCCTGAAATACAGGAAGTAAAAGTAGGTTTTGTGAAATAGAAATATGAAGTGGGTGATTAGTAAAAGTTTTGTTAAAATATTAATAAGAAATTTGATTAAAATATCAAAAAAATACGACAAATTTAAATAAAATTAAAAACGAGACTTCTTAGTTCATAAATTTAATGTTTGAACATAAAAAGATGTTACCCTTTCTATTTTAATCTTAGTAAAATCCCGAAGCCAAACGTATCTGGGTCATATTTAATTATTAAATTGTTTTATTTTGAGATAAAAGAAAAAAAAATGAAATTAAATTTATTGAAATTTTTATTTTGTAAATATTTATTCAAGAAGTTTGTTTGTATTTGAATTCAATAGAAAGTTTATCAAGGCCATCGTAATAAACGTCTACGTGATTGATTACTTTAAAATCGATGCTTCCACTACATTTATCTGGAACAGGTTATGATTACAGCGATTAGATCTGTAACAAACAACTCTATTTACTACAACGGAGCACCCATAAAATACAGATAATGCTCAATAATTTGTATCTTGTGCATTGGGTTAGATGGATGGGAGAAGACAGAGTAACACATGGGCCTTCTGCCAAAGGGGGATGACACCCGGAGGATTTTCTATAGAAAACTGGCCATTATTTAGATATTAGACACGTGTAGAAAAAAAACCGGAAAACTACACGTGGCTAGCCTGTTGTTCAGGCGCTAACCCGCGTGTTTTGTGGTCTTGTCCACTCGACCATTTGTAACTTAATCTTTATAACAGAAGGATTTGAGAAATAAGTAGAATTTTTACAGGAAATGAAAAATATTTTTTATATATAAAAAAAAAATAAAACACGAATTTCTGCAAATTTTAAGAATAAAAATTGAATATATTTTCAATTTATATAAAAAAAAGATTAAAGTAAAATAACGTTAAGTACAAAATGCAACTTTACTTAAACATCGCTTTACTTTCGTCTTCTTATAAATTTATAGCACGAAATATAATAAAAATAGATATTATGCATATATTAGAGAACGGTTTAAATTCTTTTTTTATCAAGTTTTATTCGATATAATGCAATAAAATTAAAAATATCCCTTTTAAAATGAAGATGATCACCTATGGCGTGAGAAGGTGATTGACCGTGTCTCTTCTCTCTCTCTCTCTNAAGTTGCAGTGTATGTTGTATATAATTTATTAAACCACGATTTAAAGAATTATCTTTATTAAGATCAATTATATTGTATTGCTGGCTGGATGATTGAGACGTTAAAGACACTTTAGTCTGCTAGAATCTACGATAAACAGATGAATAAAAAATGTAATCACATTTTATTACATAAATATTATTAATTAAGTGAGAAAATGATATTTCTTATAAGAAAAATGGCATAACATATCGAGTCTATGTCCTTTGTATGCTTGTCCCAGGACAATAGAAATATTTGGTCACTTAGATTTTACAAATACGTGAGCCGTTCACATCCCAGCACACGTATCTGTAAAATCTAAGTGACTCGTACAACATGGAATTCATATAAAACGGAATAATCAACAGTGTTATAGGGGGTCGACTGTACAAGCTTAACTATATACAATGTTATTTAAATGTTATAATTATAAAAAAAAAACTTAGTATGAAACCGGTTCCTCTTCTAAACTAATTATTTTTTGGCAGTAGAGCTAGATGGCAGCACACTATTGAGTGTATGGAAATTAAATTTGATCATTGGTCGAATAGGAATTTAAAATACAAATTTGATTTTATTCGGAATTTATTTAGATTTCCTTTCTTCTTACACCTGAATAGTTGCAATCTCCCATAGAAAATCTCTCCAGGAGGTACTACAGTACACCTCCACTTCGCAGATTGGTCATGTGTTGCTTTGCTTTATTTCCATCAATTCAATCAAATTTTATTATTTAAATATTCTATTCTTATTTTATAATAAGAATAAATTTAAATAAATTTTATTCTTAAAAAATAGAATTTTGTTTTTATAAAAATATATTCAGTGCCTCTGAAAGGGATGCCCAAGTTCTATCTTGATCCCATAGACCTTGCTTTACGAATACATAAATATTTTATTAAATTGCAATAAAACGGAGTAATATAGTCTTCAAAAGGGTTTTATAATAAAAATTTACAAGCTTTATAACTTTTCTTGATGAGAATTAATTCGATATATTGAACTGTATATTAATTATAACATAAATATATGTAAATTTTAAGTAAATTTATATACAGTGAAAACTGCTTAGGCGACCACCTGCATTCGACGGGGACCTGTCAAAACGGTCAAAAATTTCTGGCACCGAATAGTTTATCCATAGAGTCTTCGTATAAGTTACCTGTATTAAACGACCATTTGTGTAACGCGACCTTGGGCATATATTTTTGGTCCGAAACAACATACAACACCTGTAATAAGCGACCACTTTCGCGAGTGTATCTGGTCTAAACTATTGTTCGAGCCCATCTCAACAACGTTTTCCCCTCCTAATATAATGAATTAGTGTGAACTCTCGTTCGAACCCATCCTGGACACTTCTTCAATCCTTGAAATTAGGTGCAGGTGTTAATAAATTAGTGTAGCAAGAAAGGAAATTCATTTCAGTTTGTTGGAAATTGTCCGAAAAACGAAAGAAATGCAAAGCGCTGTCGTTAGAAGATCGTAGATCTACAGTATTTTCCTTAGGGGTATAAAATATTGTACACGATACAATTAATCGATTGATCTCATCGTTTGATAAAATTTATTTTATTTATTTATTTATTTATGAAGCTTATATACAGTACATGTGCGATAATTAGTTTCTGTATCAACCTACTTTATTTCCACGATATTTTTAGAAAAATAATATCCAAATAATTTTCGCACGCAAAATATTCAAAAAACAATAAACGCATTAATTAATGCAAAAATCATTTTTACAGGCAGCCTTCCTTTTTCGATTCCGCAATGACAATCGCGGAATGTAATGAAATCGTATTATGAGAAAAAATAATAAAATCGTCGTAATAATTTTTTTGTTGTACTTAAGAAAATATTAAATATTAAAAAATACATTATTTTTAAAGTTAAACAAACGAAAACCAAAATCAAAGTGATGTAGAGATACGACACGCTTGTATATCGATGGCGTAATACACGTAACTGAGAAGCGAACGAAAAGAATCAAGTTGAATTAATTAAGTCGGAAAATCAAAATACGTACGGAAATACGGTATTACGTCACCACCTGTATTGGACGACCACCTGTCTAAAAGACTACTTTTTGAAGGAACAGTGGGTGGTCTCTACACACAGGTTTTACTGTATTTACAGACCAAAAAAAATCTATTTTTCAATGATTTTATGACGATAAAAACAAAATAAAATAATGGTTGATGCCATTAAATCTGAATTACGAATGGTAATAAATCACATCGAGTATCGAATTTCAATTCCAAGAAATGTTTTGATGATAATTTCTATTTCGAATGAGTTAGTTGCATTTTAGCATTCTTGTCCATGATATTTTAATATTTGTATCATTTCAAGAATAAGGTAGATTATTATTCTCTTATTTTCTTCAAAACTTCTGATTTAATTTCTATTTTATTAATATAAATTCGATGGTTTAAAATTTTCTAATTACAGTGAAATGTTATTCTTGCAATTTCTTCTTTTGTATTTATCACTGGATTTTAAGAAAAATTCAGTTTATTGTTCAAGTTGCAATAATCAGATAATGTCGCAATTTCTGAAGTTTACAGAAAACATTTTGGATCAAGGTAAACGTTTTTTAATTAATAATATTTTAAATTGGTCTTTGTTATTAATTGGCTTTTATTATTAATGCCTATTAACCTTCTTTGCTTGTCAGAAGTGTAGAAAATTTGCTATTTTACAACATTTGTTCAATTTTTCCATAGCTAATATAATTATTGGAGTATTTCCCGAAAAATACTGTCTGAAAATGTCACATACGGTAATTCAACTGTATTATACATTTACTTGTATTAATTTAAATCCAGACAGTTAATGCTCGTAGTAATAAAAACAATGATTTTGTTTCAATACGAATTTTAATTTCAATATTTCAAAACCGCTCATTTTCTAATAAATTGTCAAAATCAGATTTATTACTAAGTGGCCGAGGGATAAAACCAGTAAACAGTGGTAGTTGGTCGTGGGTTCACGCCTCACCGACGAGGAGTTTTTAAGTTAGTATTAGTAACACCTAAATAGGGGCCAGATTTACATAGAAAGTCCTCTTGGGTGGTATCCCCCTTCTCAGATCGCCCACGTGTTATTATATATATTACAAACCAAACCAGATTTAATACTAAGTTGCAGTGTATGTTGTATATAATTTATTAAACCACGATTTAAAGAATTATCTTTATTAAGATCAATTATATTGTATTGCTGGCTGGATGATTGAGACGTTAAAGACACTTTAGTCTGCTAGAATCTACGATAAACAGATGAATAAAAAATGTAATCACATTTTATTACATAAATATTATTAATTAAGTGAGAAAATGATATTTCTTATAAGAAAAATGACATTATTCTTTATTTTTATTACTAATTTAATAATTATTTTCGTTAAATATTTTTTTTTCCATCGGAATTTTTTCATTGTTATTCAATTGAATTTTTCAGCCAGCGATTTAATTAAACAATCCAATTCTTTCCAACTTGGTCCAATTGACTGTGCCCAAATTATGAAAAATAATAACGTTAAATCTGGAATTTATAGAATATGGCCTCTTGCTTGGGAAAAAGTAGGCAGTTTCTCTGTTTATTGCGATATGGATACCGACGGTGGCGGATGGACGGTAAACACTGCAAATTTTATTTAAAAAATAATATAACTTTTATCGTGTTCACTTTAAATTTTCTACAATTCAAGAATTTTTCTTTTGCATGAAGAAAGAGACTAACATCCAGATAACAACATTTTCGTCCATTGGAGCAGTGGACGATTGAATTGATGGTTTCAGGCATCAAGACATCGTCCAAAACTAGCACAGTACGTGGANTTATATATTAAATATTGAATTATTTCTTATATTAGGAAACGATAGAATACATGCAATAAGTAACCAGGGAAATTATTCTCTTCGAATTAATATGAAAGACTTGGAAAATGAAAAACGTTATGCGATTTATAAAAATTTTTGGCTCGATAACGAAGATCATTCTTATAAAATTCACATTTCTTCATATTCTGGAGATTCCGGTATAATTATTGTGATTTTTAATCTATTAATTAATTATAAAATACAGTCGACCCCCTATAACACTGTTGATTATTCCGTTTTATATGAATTCCATGTTGTACGAGTCACTTAGATTTTACAAATATGTGAGCCGTTCACAGCCCAGCACATGTATTTGTAAAATCTAAATGACTCGTACAACATGGAATTCATATAAAACGGAATAATTAACAGTGTTATAGGGGTGTCAACTGGTAAAAAATATTAATTTGGCATATAAATATTTATTTTAAAATTAATTATATTAAGAAATAATTTATGCATGTTTAATATAAAATTAATAGAAGACTATAATATATTCTACTTATTTATAATAATTTATATATAGCGTTTAAAAGTTTTCTTCTTACTAAAATTCATTTATAATTCTTGCATATAAATGCATAAATTAACGTTTAGTATTTCTTTTGTGTTTATGTTTAATAAGTAAATATTTGTCTCTTATAACTGACGTACGAACCTAATTTAATTTCGATTATTTTTATTTTTATTTAGTAACAACTATTAAATTTTTATGAATTATCGAATTACATTCATTTTATTATAATTACTTTATTATATAATATATTTAATCGTATTAATTAACTCTAGTAGTAAATTTATATGTCATATAAAGCAGTTTTTATTTAAAAAAAATACTTTATTTGATTATTAAAATTAATTGCTTTAAAGAATCACGTATCGATCGTTATTATGCTAATTAAACTTTAGACAATTAATGTAATTTTAATTAATAAATTCTTATTTTAAAAAAAAAAAGAAAATAGGATTTGAATATTATACATTTTTTATTCTAATTTTCTTATCTCTTATAATTCAGAGTTTAGATATTAAAGATAAAATGAAATTAAAAGATTTCATACAGACAGTATGTACTTTTATGTACAGTATAGCTTTGGCATGCTATAATTATGTTAAGGTTAATGGATTTCCATTAATCTTTTTGTGCCTCTCTTTCTCTTTTTCCTCTTTTCTCTCTTGTCTTTTTTCTATTATATATAGACCTATATAATAGTTCCTATATTAATATATAGGAAAATTTTTGAAGATTAAGCTACTTTTTATTCATATTAGCTGAAATATCTCTCGACTTTTTTCAGTTTTCTCAAATATTATATCCATTTGGCATTTATCATTTTATGCTAATTTGTTCCTTGTTGGTCGTGGGTTCGTATCTCACCAAAGGGTTGACTACGTGGAGTTTCTCGGGTTTTCTTCACGTTAGTAACACTTAAACAGCGGCAAGTTTTCCATAAAAGACCTCCCGGGAGGCATCCCCTTTCGCAGATCGTTACTTGTTAAAAATAATTTCAAAAATCGGATATTAATTACAAATCCTATCAATTGTTATTCGATATTTAAAGGAATTATTTATGAATAATCAATTGTTTCTTAAATAAATCTTCATACAGTTAGCTTTCGATGTTATATACCATTATCAGGGAAAAATCTAATAAAATTAAAAATTAGGGTTTTAATATTTTGAAAACAATTTCTGTGAGGTGCACGCACGAATTTACATGCAGTACACGTAGACACACATGCACGCACGCATGTATATATTGATGTACAGTTTGATTATAGTAATATTAAAACTGAAACAAAATCTAAAATTGAGATTATTTATTCTTTTCTTTCATTAAAAATTTTATTATTTTATCGACAAATTTCTTATCGCTGTATCTATTGTCGAATGTATTTAATCATTCAATGTATTGTGTAAATACATTGGATGATTAAATAATTGGACTGCAATTTTCTGTCCTTCTTTAATCTTCAGGACGTAGTTAAATAGATGAAAATCCAGACCAGATATGGAAACCCTTAGGGCAGGAGGCCAAACTTACTTCTACAGAGAAAAGAAAGAAAGATAGAATTATGGTATACTTATCCACTTAAATTATTTAAGTTATTGAAATTATTATAAGGATTAATTTGTATTATTTGGTATATATTATGTTACAAATCACTGGAAACGATGGCAAGGATGGTGTTCATATTGAATGTTTTTAACAATCTCGTACTGATTTTCAGAAATTCATACATAAAGTAAACAAATAAACTTTCATAAATACCAAAAGAATTATTGTACGTGCCATTATTATATATACCATTATATGCAAGGAAATTTAGGTAATGTGAAATATTCTCATGAGGACTTTAATGTGGCGCCATCAAGGGAATGATAATATGACTACTACTAATAATAATAATTGTCGCCCTATTGTGTGCTGGTCGAATTCATAACGGGCTTGCTAAAAAAGGGCTCTCTTGGTGCCGAAACCAGCTTTTAACCGTATGCAGTAAAAATATAATTAATTTTAAATACAGTAAATCTCTCTTTTAAGATCTAATTTGTTGTTATGGACGACTTAAGAGAGTTATCTTACAGTATCTACCATAGGTTCAAGATCATAATTGACACTATGCTTCCGTAAATATTTTAACTATATAACAATACATACAGATGAAAAAATACTGTATTTTATATAGTCATAAAACAAAATGTATAGCAGTCGTAAAAGTAGAAGATTTAAAATGAATTGTCTTAAAGCGGAGTTATAGTGGGTTTCTCAGGTTTCACTGGTTTCTCTTATTCAGAAAAACAGTGAAAAAATGAATTAAAAGTGTTTTAACGTTTCATCCTTCTCTATACTTTAGGAGCTCAATCTCACTGCAGAATCTACCTTTAACTTCATATAAAAGAGGATCTTATCCGCCTTTATATGAAAAATATGTTTAAATGATTATTTCTGGCAGTGGTACAACTTAAAAAAATATCATTAACGTGTTTTAATAATATAAAGACCGAGTTTTCTCGAGACTCTTATGTAAAAATGAACGAAATATGAAGATATTTCTCATTCATTTCAGTATTTATTTTACTTTTTTTGGGTTATTTGTTATTAAATATTTAATATTTAATAACAAGATTTATAAGTGGACTTTTTCCTATAAATACAGATAAAATTTTACAAGTGTAAACCTTTTAAAGCTTCATTGACGTGAAGAGCTGAGCGAGAAAAAGTATAAAAGTGCAAAATGCATTTAGTTTAACACGTCTATTTGCAATACGTTCTGAAGTATTGCGACAACATCAAATTCACTTTACTAAAATTCGTAGTAAAGTATACTACAAACTCTATCTTGAAAACATTTTCTTTTCTGTATTGATAATAAGTTTCTTCCCAATAACAAGAATAAAGTTTTCAATGCTTTATTGCAAGGGTAAGGATGGGTTTTATAATAATAATAAAAAAAATTGTAATGCCGAGAAAGTTAAACAACTCGTTGTTGGTTTATTCAGTAACAGATGGAAAACTATTAATTGCCTGATAAATAATCTGCTCTACGGTTCCTGAAGCAATGAAAATTTTAAAAATTTATAAATTCGGCCATTTTAACTTTTGTTAAAAGCTAAATAGCAATTAATTCAAGATATTGACAATGTATACACTCGCTAAGTTATTGCAAAAATTATTTTATTCTATATCTATTTTTTAAAATCGTTTTTAAATGTGTATATATATATATCGTGTAGATAAATTTATAATAAAAATATACTATTGTTTATTTATATTTTGTATTTAAAAGATAAAATTTCGTGCTTCGATTGTTATTAAACACCGAAAGAAATTCATAAAAATTTATTTTATATTCATTATTTTCGATAAAAATAAATATACTGAATCAATGTATCGACAATGATGTATCGAACGTTTTCTTGAAATGTCAATATAAGAGAAAATCGAATTTTCTTAGAGTCGTATTGCAAGCAAATGTTTTTATTTTTCTCACAAATTATATGTATTTTTCTTATATACACTTATTGTTTATGATCTTCCTGAGATACGTCGATATTTAGTTTAATTAATCCATTATTTTAATCAAATCCACACCTTATTTAATTAGGATAATTTATGACATTTTATATAGCTATGATGCTAAATCATTGAACAAAATGTAAATTATCATAATTCAAACATTTATCTTATGCTAATGCTTCGATGATGATGATGATGTCCACTGTCACAACATCATTTGTGACAGTGGACATAATTCATTTGAAAATATGTCATTGTATGATACAAAATGATCGATTTAGTAATTCAAAATTTTATTTTCTTACAAGAAATTCCGTTAAAGAAATATTTTCTTGTCTTTGTTTCGTTGTCGCTTATAATGGCGGTATTAATACTTGTAATGTGTGTTAATCCAGCTTGTGAGATTCCGTATTGTTTTATGGATAGTATCTATAGAATAAAATCGTATATATTAATGTAGTTTGAATTGTGTTGACTGAAGATTTACATTTTATTATACTCTTGCCTATTATACTAGTATCTATCGGTAGATATGGATTTGAATGTATTGTTATGATAGAATCATATCTACCAATTCCAGACTTCTTGGAATATTTTCCACAATATAAGTTTGATTTTTCTTCTGTTTAAAAATCTTTTACCCTAAATGATATCGTTATAATTGTAATTGTTTGGTCTTTCGTTAGATCTTCAAGAATAGTTAAATCTTCATGAAAATTTTTGGAAATTATCGTATAATGGAAATGTTTTTATGAATGTCTACAAGTCATTTTTTTCGACTGAAGAAATCTGATTGGCTCAGAAGATATAAGGAATTTTAGGTTTGAATCCCTTTTTGTAACGAAGCTTGTTTATAGAGTTTTTTAGAAGTTTATGGAATCGAAGCATGTTATGCGATTCCATAACAGAGATGCCATCCTTAGCGAAGAAAATCCTTTAATACTTAAAGTTTTAATATCAAATTTATCAGAATTTTTTATACAGATTATAGATTTATATAACTACCTTCTTTAATTAATAAAAGAATGAAGGCATTACGTAGAAAAGACTTGATTTTTGCCATGCCCTGGTAATTCGAAATGGCGAAAATGAAGACATTTTAGTCTTTTCTACGTATTTTTAACGTGTAAATTCGTTAGCCATTTTTCGAAAGAAATTATATATATTTTTTGGCTTGTCATCTGTGAAGTTTTTAAAGTGTTTTGCATATATTTCTACAGATGTAGCTTCTAATAAAAGGTCGTCTCTGCAATGGCTATTTCTGCAAAGACTGTTATTTCTGTGATTTCATATGGCGAATTCAAGACATTTTAGTCTTTTCTACGTGTTTTTAATGTATTATTTACGGCCGAAGTTAATGTTAATGTTTAAATTTATCAGTAGAATTATTTTCTTAAGAAATCTTGAAGAATTTTTATAAGAAATTTGTTCATTAAGTACTTTTTGTCAAATATTTTATTGAAAAACGCTCTAAACGATCAAAATATTCTACTTCATACATTCAGAGCTTATAATAATATATATTAACATGTAATTAAATGAATCGTGTTGTATAATTTCATTTAAAATTTTTGAATTCTTATAAGGCGCTATTAATTCATATTCATACTTTATAAATAAGGCCTATGTAAATACGAATCACTAGAATTTTCCAAGAATTTCGCAAATTTCCGGTAAATTATGCATAATAATGAATAATTCTAGAAGACAATTGACAAATTACTCGCATATTACTCGTATGTCATATACGAGTAATTTGTTATAGGCAATTGGTGAACGTTCACGCTTCCTCGTTATTGATTTTATTAATAAATAAATTATTCTTCTTATGAATAATTCACCATTAATGAGTAATTTTTACTGTTTATTTTTTAATATAATGACAAGTGACATATAAAGAAATTAAGTTTAATAATGTGTAGTTTTATAATGATGAATAATTTATATGAATTTAAGCAATATATAAATTTGCACGAATTAATTTTCTTTGAGAAAATACTTATTCAGTTTATACTTATTATTGTATTACTAGGACCTCTTTTGCTTCTTATCTTCTTTCTTCAGCTTAGACCCTTGAGTAATTTCTACTCCTTATGATGATAATCAGTTTATAGTTGCACCAATGAAGATGAACAGAATAGTCAAGATGATTATTTGAATGAATGATGAATGAATCAATTATTTTTATGTAATTTAAAACAATAAAAATTATATTTTAATTAGTTTTATTTTTAAAAAATATATATATATGCAATATCTTAAATAAATTTATTAGTTTTTCTCATTAATAACTAAATCTTTTGTAATTTAGGGGATTCTTTAACCGTGGCTAATGGTATGAAATTTACTACACAAGACAAGGATAATGATGTATGGAGTTCGAATTGCGCTGTTACTTACAAAGGAGCTTGGTGGTACAAAGACTGTCACAGATCTAATCTGAATGGACTCAACCTTAATGGTCCACACGAAAGTTATGCTGACGGAATCGAGTGGTATTCTTGGAAAGAACATCACTATTCTCTTCCAGAAATAGAAATGAAAATTCGTCCAGTTAACTTTAAATAATAATCAAATTTTTAAACTTATTTAAATCTCTCTAGTTATTTAAATCATAATTAATTTTAATTTATATATATGTTTTCAAGATTTGATTTGTTTTGTAAGTTTGATCAGAATTACAGTCTAAATTAAGACAAACAATAGATTTGGGTATACTTTTTCTCTTATTATAATTCAAAGTTATAACCCAAATGGCAAAGTTTTCGTTGATTTGACTAATTAAAACTTTAAGAATTATTTTATGACTTTAAGTTTACATATTTTCCTATGTAATCTCCTATGAAATATCTAACGTATACAATAGCCAAACTTTTCAATTACTTTCAAATAATAATTTACGTTCACATTAAAATATTTATTTATCAATCTTTATATGTAATTCTGATGTTATTTTATTAATCATACTAAAAGTATAAATGATATATATTTTTTTCATATTTACTTTATTTAATTTTTTTATGTACTAATTATATATGGTTTATTTTAGCTATTACTTTTTCATTAAAATACACTGTAGAGCATTGCTTCTCAAAATATGTATTCACGAACCAGTGTTTTTTACATTATAATCCATCACTTTTGTGAAATAAAATTCAAATTTTACTCATAAAAAATCTCATTAATTCATGAAATTATAAGTTTATTTGCTGTGTTGAATAGATTTCTAATAAGTTTGAATACGTTCTAACTTAGTTTATTTTATCATTTGTAATTTATACAATTAGTTTTCGATTATCCAATTGAAAAGTATCATTATTACAATAATATATAATAATGTACAATTTTGAAGAATATAATATATATTTATAAGATTTTCAAATATATAATTTTATTAAATAAACGAAACGATATCTTATAAAGCATTTAAAGTTTTATAAAATTGGAAACCAATTCTTTGGAAACTTTTATTTGATACAGAATTTACTTCATTACTATGTTCTTTGCATCGTAAATAATTCTTTTATTAATTCCATTTGCAATTTTCATGCTACAAAAAATATATAAAAGTTGTTTTTTAAATCAATTTTTTTCATAATATTTCAGTAGTTTAGAATGTAAAGAATGTTTTAGGAAGGAAAATTTGTTAAAATTCGAATATTTTCTACTTTATTTACTTAATAATTAAAGACGTTTATTTATTAAATGAAGGAAAACATGTACTGTAAATCTGTTATACGCTGTGGTGAATTAAGACCTTCCTTAGGACCCCTCCTAGGCACAGAATATTGGGGCCCTCTACATAATATTACACCATAATAACATTTAATTGTAGGTGTAAAATTATTCACAAATTAAGATAAGTAATTGCAACAATAAAATTGCTTTTTTTCTTCTAATTTCGGAGCCCTCGTGTCTTAGGGTCCTAGTTACGGGCCCCATATGCCTAGTAGACAATTGATTACACGAGATTAAATTGTAATAAATAAGCGAAATTTGCAAAATACTAATAAATTAATAAAAATAATTATTTATTATCTAATAAAATATTTAAGGAATATTGAAAGATTTATTTGGTTTTTTCCCTTCCATTGCATTGTTTTTGTTTATTGTCGAGTGTATTAGATTTCATATTTAAAATTATTTACACGTAAATAATATTAAATATCAGTATGAGTAGTGATCAATTCCTGAAAGAAATGATAGAATAAAAACCGATAGGAAAAATTGATTAAATATTGTCAAAGACAAATAACAATAAATTCATCTTTTAGTTAGTAACGTATCGATTAAAAAATAACGTTTTAGGAGGAAAAAAGCAAACATTTTTTCGCGCTTAAAAAATAAGTCAATAACACGCGGAAATAATTTATATTTATGTGATTTTTTTAAATCTAAAATATCTACTTGTAAATAGAATTTCCAATAACAGATTTAAATATATTCTGAACTCGTTAAATGATTTCATTAATTACTTTCATAGCAAATGTAAAAAAAGAAATTGTTGTCACGATTCTTCCTTACATAAAAATGTCAAATTAATCATTTTTATGATCACATTTCATTATTATATTTATTTCCATTCCGAATTAAAGAGCTAGAATGAAAATAAGTTCTTTATGTGATAAGGGTTAAAAAGTATTTCTTGAGTAAAAAATATAAATTTATTATTAATTTTCTTGTTAAAAATTCTTATATTTCACTTCATTACTGTTATGTGTATTAGCTTTTACATCTATTAAGTTGTTTTATCGTAATGTTATGTAATAATTGAGTGGCTGATCTATTAATAGTATACTCTTGTTTACAAATCATTTCTCAAACTGAAAATACATTCTTGTCCGAAAGCGTAAGAATAATCTCTAATCCATAGATAAGAGTTCAGTATAGTCTGTAGAATGAATCTCATCTGATTAGAATCTGGAGAGAGCGAGAAACCCCATACTGTTCCATGAAAATCGTGGAAAGACGGAGTAGAATTTGCAGTAGCATCATTGTCTGGAGCGGAATTATATTTAATATTGTACTGAGTTCCAAGTTTTTGCAAGAGATGCCATTACTGTATGAATGTACAATACAGAGACGGGGTTTCCGAACCCTATTCGAGATTTTTCTGTATGCTGTAGGTGCAGATTTCGTTTCCATGGACGATAATCTCACTCACATTAAGCTGAACTCGTCAATGATTTCTCGATAGTGAAGATATTCATCGCATGAAATGGTCAATAAGATATCTGGACCTAAATCCCATAGAATATGCATACGATGCTCTGTGGAAACGAGTTGCATCCCGCCAGCCTTCGCCAAGAGACTAAAGAGATGCAACGTAAAACATTCCCAGCAACTACAAAATGCTGTTGTTCAAAAATGGACTTTGCTCTCAAAAGAGATGATAAAGAATATTATAATCAGCGTAGCGATTGATGATTATAATATTACTTTCTGCAAGCAGCACAGCAATCGCTATGCTGTGCTGCTTGCAGAAAGTAACTATATACAGTAGAGCGTCGATTATCCGAAAGTCAATCATCCGAAACGTCAATCATCCGAAAGAATTCCAGTCAGCAAATTTAAATTTTCGCCAGTGCTGTGGCGCTGCAATCTTTGGCTATGTCTTGGGCTACTCAAATATTTTACGATTTTGATATTAAATTAACTTCTGAAGTATAATTTTTTATTGTTTTTATATTTTTCAATATATTTATTTTGTTTGTACAAAATAAAAACTTAATTTTTTACGATACAATAGTCTTTGTTAGGCTTAACATCGACGAAAATTCAACGCGAAGCGACAGGCAACGGAGAAAAATGTCAAGATGGGATAAATTAATATATTTTTTCGTACGTAATCGGTTATCCGAATCACCGATATTCCGAACAACCCCAGTGCCCAATTGATTCGGATAATCGACGTTCTACTGTATTATATTAAAGATTACCTGTGCAAAAAGATTTATGCCAACGTCTAGTAATTTTTCTTATTGCCTTTAGTTTGACGTAATTTAAAGTAAATTTTTACTTTTCAATTATTTTTTCGCATAAAATATATAATGTCAATTTTCATACTAATCAATGGTTCCTGAGATTTAGATCAAATTAATAATTCTACATGTTTTTTTTTTTTTTTTTTTTATATAAGTGTATTAAGCCGAAATATTTCCGTCCGAATCTTTCGTCTTTTATACTCTACACGCACCTCTTTAAAAATTATTTTAACGTTGAAACGATCGTAGCAAAATGCATTAGCTAGTAAATTTTAATTATATAATAAATTATATTAATAAGTTACTCTATGACTGAACTAGTTTAAAGAAAATCGAACATAAATTGAAAGAAAAGATACGCGCTTTCTATAAATTAGAAACTTTCTAAAATAAAGTGATTTTTGAATTACAGTTTCGACAACGTTGGAAATCACTCTTAAACAATTGCCTTTAGCAATTTCTACAGCGAATGTAAATGTTAAAGGAAATTATTTAACAATTGCATCAAGTTTGCCAGAAGTAAACGAAACGATATTGTCAATGCTTCAAGAATTTTTGTAAAGAACGTAATGATTTCATCGATTAACAGTGACTTTTACATCGAAGATATAGTTATAATTTCCTTTATTTATAACTGTATCGTATTATAAAATATATCAATTTATATTTATTGCTATCTAAACACATATAATTAAGAAATTCCAATGAATCAAAAGAAATTAAGTTAGAAGACAGTGAAATTATTGAAAATCGTTACCGGATGAAAATTCTAATCATTAGAGCATTTAAGATTCCTGAAATAATTTTAATTTTGAATGTATGCGAGAAGATAAATGATCAAATTGCATTAAAAATCAATGGCATGTAAGAAGCATCTTCACAAATCATCAAATGACACGTCCAGTGATCAATCTCCAATCTCTAATAACAATGCATTAAAATGATTTTGTCATTAGTTGCAAAAATAGTGCGTAAAATATTGGGTTTTTCTTGCTAACATTGTCACAATAATCGTCTAGAATCAGCGTTGAGTATAGATATTAGAGGTAATATTTATATTCGATGCCGAAGTTTTTACTTCGAGCATTTTTTTTAAATCATTATGAAGATTGATGATTTGTAATCAATCAGTGTTGCAGAAGTTATTCATTTGCAAATCATCCAACGTTATTTTTTAATTTATTGTGGATATATAATGGTAACTTAATTCAAACTGTAAATATAGTTTTTTTTTTTTTTTAAATATGGTATTTCTTTATATTTTGAATTACATGTTACTGTACTTCAATATTATATTAAATAAGACTGAAATATTATATAAAATTTGAAATTTACATTATATGTTACTCGAAAAAATAGAATTTTTAATAAAAATAAAGTAATAAAATACTTCTTACTGATAAAATTCCAATAATTTAATTAATTTAAGTGTAAAGAATTATTTGGATTTTAATTTATTGTTGATATTGTTTTTCAAGAATTTGTAAAACTGCTGTTAAAAATTCAATAATACTTCCAACTCACAATGTTAAAGATAAAACATAACATAAATTATAAATAAAATATTCATCTGTTCGTTGTATTGAGACATAAAACTAATTTATCTTGTAATATTTACGAAATAAAAATTACAATATATAATTGATTACTTTATTTTAAAATTTGTGTGAAATAATACATTGTGTTTCGTGTTTTCGTATGGTTTTAGATTTTGATTGTGTTTTTGACATTGATAAGACATTGATATGTATGAAATTTTCCACACCACAGATGATTTAACATAACACCTGCTAGGAACCACTGTTTGGGAAAAAATCTATTATAGTACCTAACATTTTATCAAAGGTCTCTTACCTTTACTTTCCATTAAATTTATTAATAGTTTACTAGTTTTAATTTAGTTTTAAATAAAGTTTTTTGTTTTCCTTCATTCTCCATTATTACTTTTACCATTACACTTTTACATCACTCAAAACTTTTGGAACTTTCCTCGATGCCTTTTTCACCTTCTTACCAAGATGCTTCAGGCTATCAGTAGTATTCAATAATGCACACATATTTCACGTATGTGTCTCTATCGATCTCACTAGATGTCAAGTGTTTCTTTCAACACCATCGCTTTCATTTTTTTCACATTTATATTCTTTACTCTGTTGTTTTTATTAGTTTTATTTATTTTTTTGCAAAAATTTAAATATTANTGTGTTTTAATATATTAAAAATAGATTAAGTAAATATTTTAGAAGCAATTTGATTAGTTAAAATTATATTATTTATTTCTTCATCTATACGTTCGCTTTGTATTTGAAAGTTTGCATTCGATTTCTCCGTCATGCTTAAAAACGGCGAACACTTTTCAATTTAGTCGCTTCTTCAAAATTCGTCTAATTCAAACACTTTAGTTTTGATAAATAAATGTTTTTAATATTAAGTGATGCACCAAAAATGTGACATGGCTTCAAGTTTGATAAATACAGAAACATCCAGTATCTTCAGGTACGAGTTGTATAACATTGTACTATTAATTTTCCCAGGAAAAAGTATTTATATTATCGAATAATACGCTATAATCGACTAATGCTATAATATTCTATATAAGAAGGGAAACATGAATAGACAAAATGACGAAACATGTAGAGGAGGAGAGGGAGGGCCTCGAGACTTAATTACAAATATAAAAATAAATTGTTAGACACAAAAATAATTATCGGAATAAATTAAAATATCGTAAACTAAAAAGTCTATTTATTTTCTGTATTGGAAAAATTGTTTACTAAATTCATCTTCGTCGAATTGTTTTTTATTATTATTTTTTTTATTAATGTAGGCCTATAAATGATTGTAGACCCTCTCTCTCCAGTCATTATTTGTGGTTCGAAATTGAACTGACGATTAAAGACAACAACGAGACAGAATGGAACACCGCCGCTGTGCAACCATTTTTGAAAATGGCTGCTACTCGGACTCGACAGTGGATCCATTTTTGGAGATGAAACTCTACCGTACTTGACTGGAAGTTTAGTCGTTGTATCTGAAAAAAAAGAAAAAAAAAGAAAAAACGACTTGTTAAAAACTCGTTAATCGGATTTTTAATCTTACCTCTCGAACCACTGGCTCATAAGAAAATCGTTTAACCTCACATTAAAATTCATAGCTTGTTACTTAAATCGTATTCGGATTTGTAAGATGAAGTCTGTTCCTTACAAAAGAGTTTTTCATTTTTATCATAAAAACTAAATTAGATTAAATTGAAATTAATTTTTAATTAGATTTGCCTATGAAAGAATTCCGAGATATATATATATATATATAAACTCGAATTAAATATCAAGAGATTTAAAGAAATTTACAACAAATAGAAACAAAATGAATACAATTTTTATAGAATTTGAATGAATTACTTTCAAAGTTTATTATTTATATCGATTTTGACTCGGATTCTTCCATTAGCATATATATATGATGTAGTTTACGCATTCCTATTCAACACAGTAAAATAAATAATGAATTTATTATTACTTTATAATGTTGTGAATACTTATTAATATAACTTTTTGTCAAGTTTATAGCTAATTATATTAATTATTTACAATCCTTTATCGTAAATATGTTACAAACGGTTGTTACTCATGCTAACAGACTATTAAGTCAATGCAAACTTTAAGCCGAAAAGATCTAAAATTATCTAATTTACTAGCAAAAGTAAATATGGTAATAAGTTAATTTTAAAAGCAATTTACGATCCGAACTCAAATTAAGTTTTCAATTCATTTACTAAATAATTTTTACTTGTTTTAAATGAATTTAAATGATCTCAATGGCTGTAACATCTCCATTTACTCGACTCTATACGTGTTTATTTCCTGTGATTATACATAAATCTTTCGATCCGGATCTCTAATCTAGTTTTAATTCTGAAATATATAATTTTCCAGAATTCCCAGATGATTATAGTCGCTCTGAATAATGCGTTTGTACAAACTCATTAACATTTAAAACTTCATTTAGTTTCAATTATAAAAATGGAGTTTTTGTATAACGATAAACTCCCGTTTTCGTAAGTAATTATAAATATGTTTTACCTTTAACTATTAAGAGCTGATGTTTAATAAGGATAAACTTAATTAATACAATAAAAAAGATAATTTTTATATTAAATTATTTTAACTGGATAACTTCCGTATTGTTTTTTTTTTTTTGTATTTAAGTAATGTATAAGTGAAATTTTACATTAAAAACATATTAAAATATATCCTTTTGCTATGGAAATGTAATTTCAAAGTTGAAGAAATTCCTAAAATCTTGAATAAATCTCATTATATTTAAAGCATGGTCAATTGAGGGATATTCTTTGAAATGAAAAGCAATGATTTGTGAATTCTTCAACTAGTAAACAAGCCAAAAAGCCACTTAAACGAAATCTCTTTATTTGGCAAGTCCTCCTTTTAGTTCATTGTTCACACATTTTGCTAACAACTAACAATATAGCGGGAGAAGCAACGAATTGGATGGATGGAAGATATAATTATGGCATGTCAACTTGTATCCACTACAAGACCATCTAAATCACTATACAGGGTCAACATGCATTAACAATGTTAACAATCTGATAATCGGTTTGGTTTCAAATTTCAAATAACTTCGATGCTTCTATATTAATCATAGAATATTATTGATTTATTTAATCCATGATACACTATGTCATAAAATTCTTGATAAACAGCATAGTAAAGATTTGATCTTAACTCTAACACCGCCAACGTTTTATAATTAGTAACACGATTTGATAGACAAATGTCTCTTGATAAATATGGTATTGTTTTGTTATATTCAATGTATTGTTTCCAGATATTTAATCAGTGTGAAGTTAGAAACTAAATAAACATTTAATTTCAATTAGAGAATGAGATGATAAAATTACAATGGCGGTGAGAGTTAAGTATCCGGGAATTACAGTAAAGAATTGACTTTACTTTCTCGTTTTTTCTTGTATAGATTTAGAAGAAAAAATTATGTATNCTAATCTAGTTTTAATTCTGAAATATATAATTTTCCAGAATTCCCAGATGATTATAGTCGCTCTGAATAATGCGTTTGTACAAACTCATTAACATTTAAAACTTCATTTAGTTTCAATTATAAAAATGGAGTTTTTGTATAACGATAAACTCCCGTTTTCGTAAGTAATTATAAATATGTTTTACCTTTAACTATTAAGAGCTGATGTTTAATAAGGATAAACTTAATTAATACAATATATATATATATATATATTTTCTATGTTTTATTTCCATTATTGTATATAAATCTAATTAAAAATATTAATGTTATTTTAATTTTTCTAACTGTGTAGAGAGATACTAATTAATGTTTCGAATAATTAAATTTTCTTAACAGCAGAAGCTTTTAAAAATGGCTTTGGCTTCCTTTTTTTTCTCCTCTTCTAATCGAACGAACGTTGGATGAAAGTCTGGAGTTTAGATCTCATTTCCTCACGATTTCTTTTGTCAGTTAATTAAGCAATGCGGAACAGATTCAGCATTTCCTACTTTCAATATAATCGAGTTTCGGAAGTATCAAAGGATAAATGAAGAAAATCGAAAAAGAAATTACAAAAATTCTAATAATTGAATTATAAATATGGCAACGATCATCTATTAAGTCCGAAAATTTAAATTTGTATAAGATATATCTATCATACGAGTAATTATTTATTATGACACCGTCACAATGTACTTAAGTTTAGAAGTGTCTTGCCCCTGTACATCATACTTTTCCTGTTAACAGTGAAATCATGTCAATCATCTCTCGAGATTAAGGAAGAGAAATCAGACAGACAGTAGAAATTTATAAATGTAAAATTTTTGTTTTTAAATTACAACCCAATTAAAAGCAATAAGTACGAAAATTTACGACAAGTTACGCCTGTAAAAGTATCGGAAAATATTATAACGACTTTTATTTTTATAAATTATATTGAAAGGTTCAACAGAACAATCATTTATTTTATAGCTAAATTCTAGCATGAAATTCTACTTTCAGATTTCAAAACAGAGATCGTTGACCTCGTGAAAATATTTGGAATTCTTTCGACAACAAAATAATAGCTTTCTTCTTCTTCTTCTTTTTGCTTTCCTTCAACGACTTCTTTTATATTCAGATCATCTAATGTTATTTTATTCGGAGTTCATTTTATACAGTAGTGACTTGAATTATTTAGCTCTTGTTTTTGGATGTTATAACTGATGCAAACATTGTTGATCGACATTTCTATTATTAATGTCGAAATCATCCAATATCCTCTCTTGTTTTATGAGTGATTTTTTATCGATTCTTTCATCACCTTCAAAGGTGACACAAAAATAGCATTCGTTAATGTCAAGGTACAGAGTTTTCGTGATTTATATAGATTTTTATCTCAAGTAAAGCTTAAATTGTTTTACCTATCGAACTATCAGTAAATTTCAGTTTTCTAGAACAGTTTTTTTTCCTCCTGATTAAAAATTAATTTAGTATACTTCTTATCTAAAATGTGAAAGATTTTTTTTATAGCATTTAAGTGATTCAGAACTAGGAAGTGTAAGTGATATTAAAGTATAAATATTAAAAGTTATATGGACTAAACTTATTTATTTTATAGCGTTAAAATGAAATTTTTAAAGTAATATAGACGTTAAGATAAAAATTTATAGACAGTTTCTTTTTAATTTTAAGGTATTAATTTTAGTGTAAAAAAAAACAAGATTTAATCAGAACGAACAAAAATTATTTTAAAATCATATTTTTAATTTATTTAATTTAAAATATATATGTTCTCCATCTGAAATTAGTAGTTTTGCCCCTGTACATCATACTTTTCCTGATAACAATAGTCATAATAATCATCTATCTAGCTCCGTTCTGGAGATATAATTTTGAAATGAAATTACGTGATGTCCGGTCCGGACTAGGTATTAATGAATAGTTAATCGGGACCTTTTGCCTCTAAGCTTTTCAAATCTGGTTTCGGCTTTCATCTATCTAATTCTGTTCTCGAGATTAAGAAAGGACAGACAAACAGTACGACAGACGCCAGTGGGAATTTATAGGTCTGCAATTTGAAAATTGCAACTCGATAAGTAACAAGATTTATATAGTTGAATATATTGCGAATTATTCTTGTGTAACCGTCTTGTGGATTATAACAGATTTTCTAATGAAATTCCTTATGATAAACCGAAATATGTGCGAAAAAATAAGGTAAATTTGATAATATTTTTAAAGAAATTACGACTTTCTTTATTGGTTTTAAGATAAAAATTTTAATCAACATAAAAAACTTATTAAACCGACCTCTTAGAGAGAAATTACTATCGATATACATATTACTTTTTTTCTATAAAAAAAAAAGATTTAAAGCGTTGTTTTAATTTTCCATAAAATTAAAACATTAAAAAATTATCAATTTTAGATAATTTTTAATGCTCCCATTTCTTCGAATAAAATATTATTGAATTTCTGTTCGATTTTACGATAAAGATTATGCATTTGATGCTACAATCTATCTTATCTCACGAAAGGATTTGAAAAGAAGAATATGAGAATCCTGTCAGGAAAATATATATATATATGTATAGCCTTAATGATCATGAATTTCGATAAGAAAAATAAAATTAGACGTGTAAATATAATATCGAAAGTTTAATAAAAATTAAATTTATCGTCGTGGTTTCTAGTGCAAATATTCTAGAAAATAGAAACCTTTCGTTGGAAATTCGGAAAAGAAAAAGATATCAGATCACAAACGATGAAAAATCTTGAATATAAATCTTATAGGAAAGGAAGAAAATGGCCATTGTTTTTACCTTACGGATATAAAACCATAAGTTAGAATAAAAAAATTGCATTATTCGAGTGTATCTTGAGCTATTTGAATGAATTGTATTTAAAGTTTTCAAATTATACACAAAAAAAACACAATAGATTTAACTTTAAAATATTTTAAAGTTTATAAATAAAGAAAATAGAAATAATTATTTCTGTTTTCCTTCGTACAATATAACGAAAATATGATCTAATATTTTTGCTTTCGTGTAAATTTTATTCTTAGAAATATATTTAAGAAATAAAATTTAAAAATAAAAACCGTAAAGAGGAGAGATATATTTTTGTATGTATTTTTTTTTTTTTTTAACGGAAAATTTCCAAAATTTTTATGTTATTTGAATGTAATTTCTCGAGAGAAGATACGTTT